GGAATCAAAATTTTCATTTTATAACAACTAGACGATTCCTGACCTGAAGCATCCTATTCCAGAATTGGAATAGAGTTTGGATTCCCAAGCCTAGGTATGGGTTAAAAATCTTAGATAAAATGCTCTTTTTTTGTCCTACCGAAAATGTGCCTGGAGTCCACCTTTGTTATTTTAAACCATTCAAGTCAAGAAGACTCACAGGCTGTTTTCTCTTCTATCACACACATCCTTGTGTAAGTGTTCTTTAGCCTGTTGATTTTCATCCATAGTATTCAGCTAACAAGGAAAGATTTTGCAAAAAGGGTTAGAATAAATGTGAATGATATCTAAGATTTTTATTATTAACCGTGCTTATTATTAACACCGTGACCGTGTTAACTTGTGACCTGTGTTTACCTATTATGAAAATTAGTAGAAAGCTGACTAAATTTTTTGGTTTATGATATTAAAGTACATTTCATAGACTCTCAGACAATGTAAATTTGGTAAATTTGTGGCTGCTATAATTTAATTACAAACGTTATCGTTACACTATTTACTTTAGTAAAAACATGGTACATTTTCTTCAGAAACTATAGCTGATGTCTCATTTGATGAATGCAGAAACATTATTTCCATGTTGTTTTGCCGCTTTTTCTCACCTTTTGCAACATCATATTGTCAAATCAAACCACTGTAAACTGTCCAAATCTATAATGGCAATATCAGTCATTGATTCTTGAGAGTCTTGTGACCAAATTTCATGATTTTCTTTCTTTTTTTCATAATGTTAATATGCCGCTATATCTGAGTGCTGTTTTCATTGAATTAATTTGAAAATAAATCTTTTCAATACAGGCTACTCAATCTCTCGAGTGAGTTAAATTGCTCATCATTCAAAGTGATTTTGTGCCCTCACAAGACTTTGAAAATGGCCAACCCCATCTCATGAAAGTGTGTATCAATAGCACAGTTTTCTCTTTATATTTGGCGCCAAATAGAAGCAGAAAATTGTGCTATTGATACACATTTCCATGAGACCTGGCACATGAGTCGCATTAACTTTTGACACTTTATTATCTTTTTTTAAGCATCAAAAATCTAAAGGCGATGATGTGCTTGAAGAGTATGAAGCCACCAATACATTGTCAAGTGGGATGAGAAGAGCTTAACATTAATGTTAACATTGTTAGGACTCATAAAAAACATAAGCCACAATTGCATATTTTAAGATTATTGTTGGTCATACTTAATTTTTTTAGTCAAACCTCAACACAGAGAGATCAGTATGCACCTGGAATTGTGACTTTGGTTCTGTCATTAAAATAATTATTTTCCAGTAAAACTGACTTTCTTTTTACAAATACATATATATATATATATATATATATACATTTACAATGAATTTTCCTTAAAGGGATAGTTCACCTAAAAATGACAGTACTCCAAAAATTGACAAAGATCTGTTCCATTTCAATGATTCAGATTACTTACTGTCTGTTCATTATTACTCTAAATTCCCAGAAATCAGCAAACTGTTCAAAAACCCATAAAGAAAGCTCAGAGAGGCAAAAGTGACCCTTACATTGCTTTATTGGAATACTGAAACACACACCATTGGCGGGTACTCATCGGTACAGTTACTATTGGGACGTCGGTTGACATGATACCTACCGCAGTCACCTTATTGTCACCCAAAAACAACAGTTCCAAGACAGCCTGAAACAAAGACAGGGCAAGCAAAAGGCTTACTTTGACAGACAAACAAGGCTGCTTCCAGATGTTGAGAAAGTATGAGAGTGCAATGAGGAAATGGCTGGCAAAATGCAGTAATCATCAAAAAGCATGAACAATCACGACTCTTTATCGTACAAACTCCAGATGGAAAAACTTAAAGGAGGAACAGAAAACATCTCAAGATTGGAGAGAAAAGTTTCACAACAGCAACAGACAACACAGTCAATGACACTAATAGTGTGATGGACTCACAATCATTGACACTAAATCATCTGCAATGGACAAAGACACACAAAACACTGAATTAGTCACATGGATACATTACCAGGTCAGGTAGACAAGCAAATGAACAGTGGTTGACACTACAAATCTGTACTAACCTGAGTTTTGTTTTTGTTTTGAATCATCTGTGCAAGCAAAACAAAAGGTTCTGTTTAGTTCATATAATTGTTTAAAAATGTTGTGTCATAGAGAGTTTGGAGAGAAAAGTTTCACAACAGCAACAGACAACACAGTCAATGACACTAATAGTGTGATGGACTCACAATCATTGACACTAAATCATCTGCAATGGACAAAGACACACAAAACACTGAATTAGTCACATGGATACATTACCAGGTCAGGTAGACAAGCAAATGAACAGTGGTTGACACTACAAATCTGTACTAACCTGAGTTTTGTTTTTGTTTTGAATCATCTGTGCAAGCAAAACAAAAGGTTCTGTTTAGTTCATATAATTGTTTAAATGTTGTGTCATAGAGAGTTTATTATATATATATATATATATATATATATATATATATATATTAAAATTTTAAGTCTGATCCTTTTAGCAATATACTGTAAAGGAGTATCTCACTTGAATATGCCAGTTTATACTTGTTAAATTTCACCCTCTGGTGGTTATGAACTAGACTGCATGATTAAGGGATCTGTAAAGACTGATTAAAAAAATGCACAGTATCTACATATTTTGCACAAGATATCTTGGCCAGGAATTAAGAATTTGTTGCTAATTTGTGGCCACATTCAGGGCCGCTGTTGGCCAAATGGGTGCCCTAAGCAGAATTGTATTGTTGTGCCCCCTCCACCAAATATTATGGAAGTAAAAAAAAAAAAAAAAAAACTATGGAAAAAAAAAAAAAAAAAATGAAAAAATGATAGAAGTACAGAAAAAGCTTTAGATAGAATTATATTC